CGTTACCCTTAAACTGTGTCCTTTCTCTCTCCAACTCCTTCATTCCCCTCTCACCATTTTTTGATAATAAAATGTCAGAATCCAAAAGCCTCTTTTATTCTAAATTAAGGTATCTGCAATGCTTCARGAACAGCACTGATGAGGGTTTTTGTCTGAATACAGTGCATGCTTTCCAATTTTCACTGTCTTTTTTTTTAGCATATACAAAACATTGCAGAAGCACATGTAAATCATCACTCTCTTGCCCAGTGGAACAGAATTTCAGTTACCAATGCCAACAGTTGCCTACAGAAGGCATCTACATCTGGTCTGCTACATCCAAGGCAGCAACCACAGGCACACACGGTTTGCTTTGTTTAGAATTCATCTCTGTGGCGCAGCTGAGCCTCAGCTATTAAAAAAACCCAAACCTGTGAGCCCTCCGGGGTTAAACAGACAAACATTTTCAGTCACAACAACTTTTGGGGGCAGGCAGCAAAGCCGTAACAATGCATGGAAGAGGTTTTATGTAAATTATTAAAGGCCTACTGACTTAAATTGTTGCTAGCACCGAGAAGTTGCTTAATGCACACTTGAGAGTGTGAAGGCAGAACAGATGAATAGTCTCACAAATCCTATTTGCTCAGTTGGAAAAATGCAAAAATATTTGTTGAAACTAAGAAAAAAAATCCGATTCCTGCTTGCTGCCATTCAAATTTAAAAGTCAAATCAATATTCATGATTTCTGAGTGCATGGTGGTTTTTACTGGGAGGCAGAAGGGGCAGATACAATCAGTAAACAAATTTACTTTCAAATCCACACAGAATTCAATACCTACCTAGCCACTCGTTGAATTTTTTTACTTCACTAGGAAGTCCCAGCTCAGTAAAATCACCAGCATGTATTAACACATCTCCATATGGCATTTGGATGGGATCAGTTCTTGAGTGAGTATCAGAAATACAGACAAATCGTGTATATCCTGGAGGCTTCGGAGCGTCATGGGGCACCGGATCAACCCTGTAGGAAATGCATCATAACAAGGTTATAAAGTATTTACGTACTTCTTAATGTCTGCTTTGCAATTCTAATACTACTTTCTACCTTTACAAGAGATTACAGGGACTTCTAAATCTGCCTGATGGAAGGATTTATTAAAACAAACCTAACACTAATGGGAGGTGTAAAAATTCTTGATGTTCACATCACAACATTTTCAGTATTTGTTGGGTAGATAGATTAATTTAAAGAGATTAAGGAAAAGAGATTGGACTATGGCAGTAACTCTGACACAAATACTTACAAATAAATCAAAGGCAYTGGCAGTTTCAAAGGAAGAGTACTATCCCATTTTATCATTCAAATATGATTACACTGTACACAGAGAAAAGATTTATTTTWGATACATAAATACATTTAAATGCTTTTTTTTTCTAATTATAACTTCTTTTCGGCAAGTTACTCCATTCCAGCAAATTTAATTAACATATTTTGTGAGATATGTTCCAGCATGTTGATGCAAAGCAACATAAGAACTCTCCTAACAGCTGTAAATGTACATTAAAGCCTGACTATGTCAGGACAAAGTGACGACATTCTGTGCTTAATTACACTAAATGCAATCAGATGCTGTGAGGGGTGAGGCTGCATTGTTCAGAACCCAATCTCTACATACAAAACCAAGGGAATGAAAGATCTGACCCAGTTTGATGAGACTCAGTTATGATTTACAAGAGGAAATCAGAGAACACCTCTCTGCTATAGGAGGAATATTTATTTTCAAATCCATCTTTTTAACCTCAATCCATATTTTGTTCAAATACATGGAAGTAAATGTATCTATATGCAGTTATACTGTATCTGCTATTCCAGTTAGGGAATTTTGGTGGAATAAAATCAAAAAACCAGAGATGCAAGAGTCATATTTGTGTCACTAGAAACCATAGAARTATACAGAATTGTTATGAACTATTCACTTTTACAACATTTATTTTGAAAAGACAAATAAAATTAGTTTTGTTCACTGTTGAAGTATACAATACATATTTCTGTCCCTTGCTAGCTGTGCTTCAATTCAGAGCCTACTTTTACATAAACAAACTCAGAAGCTAAATTTAGAGAACTTTGCTAYTAATAATACTATTTCTGTTTACTAGGTAAAGTTTCAAAAAGTATTTTATTGTTTAAAAGCATAAGATATAATCTTTAGCCAATCTTTTCTCTATGTCAAAAAGTCTGTGAAATTTATAGGTGGATWAACTGAGGTGATTTTGATAACTTCACAGGATGATTGAGAGGGTGAGGAATAAATCTAAATCATTGAAATCTTGTTAAATAGAGAAAAAGGTCTTAGCAATTTTCCACAGTGTGACTACAAAACCAGAGTACCCATCTTTCCCATACTTTTATAGGAAGAAAAAATATTGGAGTTTTTACAGCATTACGAAGGAGCAGCCTTTTAGTACAAATACCTTCTAGTTGTCTTTCTGAAGTTCCAGGTTTTAAGCAGAAAGTAGCTAAATATGAGCTGAAGAGTAAACCCAGTTGTGATCAAATCCTACCTGATGAACTACATATCAGCTGCAAATATAAGCATGGATGTAGTGGGAACTCTAAAACTTGGGTGGCAAAGAGTGCAGTGCTTGGACTCTGAGCAGATGGAAACACCTCTTGGAGGGCACATGGAGAAGGGCAGATGAAGGAAAAGAGTTGAGATGTTAAAAACTCCACTGCTCTGGCGGAGAAGAGAGCTGCACAGGGTGAGCTCCAGGAGAGGCAGCAGGGCTGCAAAGGAATGGGGGTGGTGAACAGTGGGGTTTAGACTGGGCACTGAGGGTTTGCCATAGGTGTGGGCTGTRTGAAAGATAATGCACTCAGTTAAATGAAACCATAAAATCATAAAAATGATGAGGAACTGACCCTAGCTATCATTGTATCTGTTCAAGTGAATTAAACATCAGTCCTGTAAACACAATTACAGCTCCCMATGCCCAACACTTCCCAAAATGAGGTACAGACAGCATTACTAAGCCAGCTTTAGATCATGAATACTACCCTGGCAAACGGAAGGATATGGGCTGGTCTAAAATACCACTTTTTGACTTTTCGTGGTAGGGCAGCCTTTAAAGCAGGTACTGCTTCTTCYTCAGAAATCTTTTAAAGCTCAGCACAGCAGTAAGTTGCGTGTTAGGGAGTAGTGTGCATTTCACATGGAAAGCTGTATGGAAAAAACAGCAGATTTACCATGGCAACCCCATGCAGCATATAATGCGYATGCTTTGGATGGGGATGGGGAAGGTAGGAGCAGCATTCTCCAGGTTGCAGAGGTATGTGTAACTTTTTAACTGTGCAATAGGCCAGAGAATTTTCATGGGAAAAGGGCATCAACACAAAAAAAAATTAAAAAAGAAAAAAAAAGCCAACCAAAAAACCAAACAAAAAACAACCCAAACCTCAAATAAATGAGATGCAGATTTCTCATGTTGAAGTGATATGCACACACTGAAACCATATATAGGTAAAAACATATGTCAAGTTTCGCAAACACGTTGTATTACTGGAAATAATTTCTGAAGGCTCAATCCCCATATTCTTGTGTAACGCATTCCCACAGCAGCTGTCACACCAACACCCAATGCACAGCTTGCAGCACGAGCAGAGGAATACAGATCTGTTGATTATTTTTGTGCAAAYGCTTTGTTTTTCTTCAGATCAGTAGGAAAAGTTGCAGGCAAATTGAAAAGCAAAGTTGAAACATCTCAGAGCAAAAACACTTCTAGAGATTAGTTTATGCACTAGATTTCAGTACTCCAGGAAGGAGAGAGACAAGCATTTTTCAGAAATGACTGATGGACTTGAAAACACTGGCAGAATTTACCACCCTTATTGTCAGGGGCAGCCCAGTCATCTCACAAGCACAGGGATGCCAGACTGTGGCAGGTCTAGAAAGGGCTGTCAGCATCTTATGGGAGCTAAAACATGGAACAAGGACTGAGAACTTGCACAGAGGACCAAGGAAGAGCTGCAAGTCTGAATCCAGAAGAAAAGGAGCATACAGCCCTCCCCCACGTGGTTAAAATAGTTTGCCGTGAGTTCAGATGTTAACAGCTCTATGTGAAATGTTTACGATTGCCTGCAACATCACCAATGGAGGTGCACAAAGCCTTCACCTCCYGAAGTTAAGGACAAAACTTGCATGCACAGAAGCAGGGCTAAGATTTCAGCCACAACCATCATGTGAATAAAAGGTGCTTTTGTCACCCTWTTTATGTCTACTTTTCCCTTCTTTGTTACTATTCTATTCATCGGTAGGAAGAAAAAGCAATCCTGCTGGTATACACAAACATTATTTACTATTTCTGTACAAAGAAAAAGAGTATATCAGATTGTGGTACATGTTTCAATTGATTTGGCCTGGGTTTTTTATTTGCACAAGCTTCTTCAATAGTATTAATCATTCATGAGAGATTGTTAAACTCTTCTGAGAAACTATTTTCTAAGGGTAGCTTATTTTCAACTACTTGCTTAGGTACTGAGTTTCTATCATGCAATTGACCGTCTAAGCCTCCAGTAACAGGATTTCTTACTGATTCGAAGTTTAAACAGCRTATTGTTGAGAACCAAGTGAATATTAATAAATAACTTATTTTCAGCCCAGTAAAAAACATTCAGCTCTTAAGACCAGGAAAAAAAATCCTGAGTGCCCAGGAACTKTCTGGATATTCACAAAGAATAGCTAAGCCTCAACAAATCAGGCAACCTGCATTTGGCATTTTCATTTGTAAAAGTATTTCTGAACCCACATTTGTTTGTTTGTACTTTTTCTACCATTTGCCAGCTCTATAAACAAAAGATGTTTCCCAGTGCTAACACTCAACTCGTTTTACTGTTTGCATTTCAGTAGAATCTAAAAAACCCCAACACAGACCATAATACACTGCCCCCAAAAACTGTGTTTGCTCACCATCTTGATATAYATGTTAGTCATCAGATTTTTTTTATATAATCTAATTTATGCCAAAGAAGCATTCACTAAATAGACACACAGCATTCAACGAGTCACAAGTGCTGAATTCTTTAACTGCAACCTACGTTTTTATGTTTTCAAATGGTATTAAATACAAAAAATGTGAACAATGTTACTATCTGTTCAGTCTTGCTAAAGAAAAAGGGYTCCCTTTAACAAATGAAAACCAGCCATCTGATCTAAAGATAAAGCTGCTTCTCTCTTTAATAAACACAATAAAATGGTGCAGACACTTTTATTCCCTATAAAAATATTTTACAGTAGAATTTTATACTTAATTTATTTGTAATAGCTTTACTGTTTTGATCTTCCTTCTGGCTTTAAACTTTACGGCAGGTTTCATTTTGTAATTATAATTCTCCACTTTACGTTACAAGTAAATCATCTAGAGCAGTTAATTTTACTGATGTTGTCATTATATAAGAAGTCAGAAACAAACACATTATTTTAATTACTCTTTAAGCACTTGGCATTTTTGGCACATTGGTGTGAAAGTAAGTTGTCGGATGGGTGCCCACAGTGTTTTATGTATGGATATGATTTTTCCCTCATATGCAGCTGTAATATAACTGACTAAATAGAATGTGTGCTCTACAGCTACAGGCTCGGTATTTGCAGCAGCTATGTACATCAATATGCAAGTGCACAAAGCAAACAAACATTATTAGGATTGTAGAAATCATCCTTGTAGCATCTCATGTTTTATTATCACTGCTTGTTTTTTATTTCTCTTTTTAATACGTAAGTACTATGYATTACACTTACACCAGTGAAGCAATCTTTCTCCCATCCTTTAACAAAGTACTATTCAAATGGACTGATTTTGTATCATTATAGTAATTATTATTAGAAAGGCAGCARAACAGTGTTCTTTGAATTCTTTTCGACTGGCCCATCAAATAACACATCGACAAGGCAATAACAATTCCGAAAGCTGTGCTAGAGCAATAACAAAACTATAATACTTACATTTGCACATGTGGGGGCTGGAAACGTCCCTGGTTAATGTTGTAGAACGTGAAAGCCTGTGTGGGGTTGGAGCTGTACTCATCCACCTCGATGATSAGCCGACTGTGCTGGTGCCTCCTGGCTGCCATGATGTGGGACTGGGCGAAGGCCATGTCTGCAGCAGGCTGGGCTCCCTCAGGCCACCATCTCTGCTATCTTCCTACGCTGGGGGTGAGCACCATGACATCCCCTCACTCAGCCAGCACACTCCCCTTCCAAACACCTGCGGGAAGATTGGACAGATGCAGCGTAACTGTTGGATACTSAATTGGCTCGGAATTTGCTTTATTTAATATGAGGTGAAGATGAAGGGATGAAGACAGACTGCTCAAAGAACTCTTTACAAACCTTTCCTACTCAGCGACCTGATGAACGGGTTTTAATTGGGAGTGGAAAGCATGGAGAGAAACTAAACTTGCTACAGAACATAGGGGCAACTTGCTCAAGTATTTCAGACATTTAATCCAAACTCAAAAGACAGGAGAGTTTTTCAGAATGGCACATCAAATCATAATGTTTTTCCAACACAGCCATTTACCTCCTTTTCTTTTAATAGAACTGATGAACTTTTATTCCTCATCCTCCCTCAAAAAACCGCACCAAACCTGAAATTGAATACACAACTATGCGCAACTCAAATGCAAGGTAATTAAACGAGAACCAGTTTAACTAAATCTTCCCAAACCCTGTGACATTTATTTCAGAAAAGCACTGCAAGAGACTGTTCTTTACATCAACAAAACAGAGTGAGTGGCCTTCTTGCACTTGATCCTGGTTTTATAGATCACTGAAAGAACTCCTTGAGGACAGCACAACTCCTKGAGTGAAGGACACAAATATGAAAGGCTCCCCTCATCAAACAATTTTCAGTGAGCGCCAGCATTCTGGGTTCACAGAAAAACAGAGTGATTCCAAGCTAACACACAGTTAAATGTTACTAAGTATTAAAAAATGTAAAATCCATACAGGTTTTATGTTTGGGAATAAATTTTTCCCTGAAGGTTACACAAGTCTAGAACAGCAGTACTGRAAATGGGTAGAGGAAGAACAAAGTGAAACCAACTGGAATGCAAAGAGTATCCCCTAGAAACRCAGAAAGTAATTTAAATGTGAATTTTACTCGTATTTCCCAGTTTTAATAAAAAATGGATTATAAGATATAAAGGTGGGTATTTTTACAGTATAACTTTGCATCTTTTTTARAAGTTGCCTGACTTAAATATTGACTTTCATGCAAGCGGGGGCTCTTTTCTTCTAGGGAATACAAGCCATGTGATTCACAGATGTATTTCATGAAAAGCTATGCTAGAATGCAGCAATTCACTTAATATGCAGAGTTTTGGAGAGCAGAACTAGAAATATTTTATGTGACCATGTTGGTGTTCCTTTCTTCCATTCTGAAGGGCCTCACTGCCAAGAGTGATGGATGARGGACGCCTTCATAGTCACTCAAATTTTTAAAGCTATTTACAAGTACTTAGGTCCAATTCAGTTTAGTGGCAGTCAAGCACCTAAGCATCTTTAAAAATCCCGGCTGCAGCCCTTTGCTTAACTGCCACAGATGTTAAGTGCTCCAGGAAGAGGCAGGGTATTTTTGTTTGGGGAAATCTTGTTTTCAGGAAGCCAAAATGAAAGATTCAGCTTGGTTTTTGTTGCTGTTTGAATGGCTGTAAGATGATGACAACTTGCTGTCACTAATAAGCCGCAGAAAAAGTCTCAGAATAAAGGAGCAAGATTCCTACATGCCCTCCCTTAGAATGGAGTGCTAAGGAAATGCTAGAATAACGACAAAGAAAATTTGGGATTTCAAACACTGAGATGCTGTATTCAGGCTACAGAAGATGCAGCAGCACAAAGGAATGTGACAGAGCAGGGGGAGGGAAGGGAGGCACGATCCTTAATCAAGTATAAATTGCTGCATTTAGGAAATAAGAAATTATGACAGCAGATGTGAAGAACCTTCCCTAAGGAGTCTCCTGTATTAAATGATGCATTTGTAAAGAAGTTTGAATAGTCAAGGTCAGAGATTTTATAGGGGGCAAACTGTTCGATGTGAACTTACTTCTGTTTAAAAGAAACTATTAGAACTGGTGACCTCTAGAAATATTCTCCAGCAAGAGAAATAATTTATGATTCCAAAGCTCTACATAAGGATTTCAAACTACCTGAAAAACACAGCTTTTTTTAAAAATAATTCAGGGATTATGTCCATTTTACACACACCTGAACTGAACTGGGGCTACCAAAGGAGTTAAGGGACTACCTTAGGGACCTGGAATCTCCCTTTGGCATTAAGAAGTTCTCAGGAGCTCACAGTAGCTGAGAAAACAGCTTCTGCCCAACTCCTCTTGGGGTTCTGTTCTTTACAACTTATCACAAGTTAGATGTCAAATCTGCTGCAGAAGGAGCAGATATATGTGCATGTACCCCAGTGTCCACTCTTTGGCTCTCTTCCTCTTTCTGGGTAAGTGGAATAGGGGTTACCAACACAATGTAACACAAAAGACAAATTTATTTGGAAACAGAAACAACAGTACACCACTCGACACACCCTTTGGTGCTGAAGAGCTCTTTTAGGCAGAGAAGTGACCCTTGCACACAAGAAGTGTGTGAATCACACCATTAGGTCAGCTTGAGAGAGTGGCACCCACGGGCATTCAGAAAAAAGTTCACCCTATATACAGGTGAAAAATGGGAAGACAAC